GGTAAGTACAGTTAAACTTATCCGAGCTTATAGAATGATCCATCCTAGTACTATATCAGCAGTTGTTTATTTTATTTATTCTATGCTTTAGATATCAGATTTATTCATAATCAATCCAGAAATCTATTAGTATTCGTCTTCATCTTGCTTTGCAACGAGATAAGAGAAAAACATGTATGGAGTCAAAGAGGTGATGTAGTCGAAGACATGATTAACGCAAGAATGTATGGAACAACGTTTCAAAATTGAAAACTGTTGTACAGGTTCGTGAGACACAAAGCGATCTTTGGAAGAAGGGTTAATCTTTCGTTAGGGATCATTACAGCACATTGAATTTATCCAATGATGATAAAATTTATCGCATGTATTATGTGATATTTTCATGAGCATATCCAAACTTTACTGAGAATAAATTCATGTCTGTTCTCCGATCTATTTTACACCTTTAGATACTTGCTCTCTATCCTAGTCCTTGTTTATTTGACCGTGATTGATATTCGTATTTATGGATTTTCAAAAGAAAATGTAAATTTAAAGCATATACCTGGAACAAACATGTACTTTTTTCCATCACTAGGTTTCATTAAATGAAGATGCTTAGCTAAAAGCAAGAATTTTCGTTGTTTTCTGCAATATTTCTGGCTTTAGAGATTTTACATTTTCATAAATTATTTTCGTGTGTATACCTTTCTTCTATGCCAAAACATGTTTTGATTATGTTATTGAAAAAGAGATCGCAGTACTGTAGATCAATCGTATAGATGCGATATGTTGTTTTTCGCTCGATTATATCAACTTATTTTCTCTCGCTTTATCTCTGGTCATTATTGTTCTTTATGCATTAGTTGACAAAAAAGTGGGAGAAATATTAATAACTGATGGCTATAGCTCGTAATCGTCTTTTTAGCGTTTTACGTGTAATAGCCACCAACAGATTTTGTTATTCATTTATCTATTATATACGTTAATCTATTCTTCTTTCTCATTTTAGTATGCTTCAAATTTGTTTATTGATGTTAATAGGGGGTATGTAGAAAGTTTTTATTATCGCATTTACTATTTTTTTCTTTAATCTTTATTTTTAAGGAGGAAACAAAATTCAGAATAGTTTTAAAACTCTTATTTGAGTTAATTTATCTTTTCGAATGTATGCCATCCGATATGTGGTTTATTCGGTGCTGATAGAGTATCGCTCCAATGTTGAAAACCGCTAACAGTTTTCAAACAATTTGATCCAAATTCAATTTTTCCAAGTAATTTTGATGGTGAAAGAGATGTTGGTTTTAAACATATTGATATCCTCATACATGTTTTATGCAATGATAAATATTCAAGATGAAATGATGTACTATACGTAAAAACCGTTTCATTGGTAATTTTTACAAACGATTTCGATTTCTTTTTACATGTCACTTTGTTATCACATACTGTACAAATTTTCATGTGAATTAATCCTTTAAAAAATAAACAATATTAACTCGCTGTTCTTATATAAATAACTCTATATCACCTACCATGTTGTTGTTTGACCAATGATAGAATGCCACTTGCTTTAATTATACCAACCTGTAATAAACATCGTTCATTTTCATAAACCAAACATATTAATGCACGAGCTTCATTCTCTACTTCAACCTGAAATATCAAGCAAATATATTGTGCAAATTTTTAGGTATATATTAGAGTAAACCTGTTGAGTAATTAAATCAATTTTATCATCATATATCTGTACAAATTTTCTATATTCTTCCAAACTATTATTAATCATTAATTTCTCATGTTGATCGAACATTAATAGTGTTTGACCCAATTCAATTCGTTCATTTTTTTGATAACCGAGTATATTTATTTTCAAATAACTATCGAATAATAATTGTTGATCTAATTGAAATTTAAATATTTCATTTGATTGATATAAATTATTATTCGTTATGTCTTCAGTAATTATTTTTGAAAAATAACGTTGTCCACGTTTACCACCAGTGTATAAACGAATTTTACAAATAAATGTTCGAAAACATTTTTCAATAGAATTTAGATGTTGAAGACGAAGAAGTTGAAAATATAACTCACGTTGAGTCAAATCGTAGTAAAGATAATAGCGAATTTCAATACGAAATAGTTCAGATAATGAATATTCATTATAACTTGATACATCTAATTGACTTACATTTAATTTTGAAGATGATTTTGTTAAACGAATAGGAGTTTGTTCAATATCCGAATCTGATTGATCATATATTGGTGATGGAATACTGTTTAAATGTAAATGTTCAGTTAAACTACTTTGGTCATTTAATAAAACATTTTTATCAGAGTTAATTATTGGTAATGAATGATCAACATTTTCATTTCCACAATCAGCATAGGATTGTACCGTTTTTTGCTGCTGTTTATTATTAAATAGTGAAATAATTGAAAGACGTTGATGTACTTTTTGCTGAAATCTTGATTTGACAGAATCAAATTTAATAAATTGTCCTTTTTTAGAACTCTTTAATGATGAATCAGATGATGCTTGACTTTGATAACGTTTAGCAAAATCAAATGCTTGATAATTGGTGGGTGTTTCGATAGAATAATCGTTGTAAGACGAAGGAGATGGCGTTCGACAAACGATTTTAGAGGGTTTATTTTCCGACGAGATGAAAAGTTTTTTCAATGGAATTAGATGACGTGGGTTTTTTTTGGTGGATGATGATGAATCATCAGAATAAACGAGTTTTTTAGCTTTTATACGTTTAGAATTACGTATACGATAAACATAGAGTAACACGCCAACAATTGAAACAACAATTAAAGATAATAGTATAGAAATTAGAATAATTAACAATGGATAAGGTTTAATTAATAACATCATTATGACACCATTTCTTTCATCTTCTTCAGAAATATAATACACAGCAATGAAAAACTACTAATGATTTTTAAATTTTCGTTAGTTCTATGGGAATAGAACGAATATTTTACAGATGTGTGATACGATATTTTTTAATCGACCGATTGACAAAATTAAAAACATCAGGATATATAGACGTTAGTGAATCATCAGACATTTTTTACTCACAGTTCCCGTTTAAAGACCACTTTTTTCGAATAAAGTGTACATATTACAAATAAATGATTTACTATAGGACACACTTTAATTGATGTCTATTATCTATCCAAAATATATATAAGGTCTTGATCATGAATTAAAAAAACGATATAATAAACACATTTTTTTTCAAAAATCAGGATTTTTCATCCACTGTCATATTTTATTTATGTTATTTAGAGATTTTATAAACTTGTTTTAAAACGTGATCGGTTAGAATAAAGAATTTTGATTCTCTATACGATGAAAAAACTTATTAGAAAACGTTACTGTTTTAACCCTAGAGCGCAGGGACTCCATCCTTGGAAAGTCTTGTTTTATTACGAAACAGATAAACACTTTTATTTTCACCGTTTGTTATGCAGTTACTGTAGTGCTCTAGAAACAGAACAATGATGAATTTCTTCTCAAAACCTATCGGTTATCCGACAGTAACCGATATAAGCGAAATAACCGATGTTCTACTGATCATCGAAAGGGGGTGATGATCACGCGATGCATGCATGTATAAAAAAGAAAAATGAATTATTTATACATAATACGTAAGAAAAACAACTGACCATCACATGTACCGTCACGTTCTATCAATGTAATCGATCTTATGTAACTAGGCATGCGGAGAATTTTCTCATTTCCATTTTTTATCTCCTTTCTCTTTGTTTGTTCATCTTTTTTTTGCATCATCCCTTGCTATCCAGTTGCTTTAACTAATTTTATGGTCACCATCATTATCTTTTTAATAAAATTACTTGCTCAACAAGTGTAATATATATTTTTTTACCAGGGTTAATACTAAAAAATTTAATTTAGAAAGTTAAATTCCGGTTTCTTAAACATATAATAGTCAAAACTTAATTCTTGAACAAAATTTTTTTAGGCAAAATGATACATCTCGAATTTTGTTATATTAATCCCGCTCACACTTTTATTTATCATTAAGGTGCTCGTAATTGTACTAGAATACGATTTTGTGAATAGAAATATTAGTTGTACAGTGGATGAAATCGAAAATTTTATTTAAATTTTTCCTGCGGTCATCTGTAACTGAAATGTTACACGCCGCCACCTATCAAACCATCAGCTAACTGTTATGACTTAGAAAACGAAATGAAAATGGAAACTTTTCCACCAATAGAAAAAAAATTCCTTCCATTTATTTTCCATTTTCATATCATTTCAATTTTTCAGTCATAATCCGGCTAACAGCTTTGATTGTATAGTAAGGAAACTTTAGTGTGTTCGAGCAAAGTCCACTGATCGCACCATATCGCTATCTATCGATCGAAAGATGAAAAGGGGAATGCAAAAGGGTCTATTCGTTTCTTTATCTTGTAAGCTGTGCTCTTAAAAGTTGATAGTTATATAACACGATTATTGAATAACGCGAAACGTTTCTGAAACCACATTCATCCAAGTTCACATCATTCTACGAACGCTTTCTTTTGCATCGAATGAATCATTCTTTCGTTTTCTGTTTCTATCATTTCATCGCTTAAATCAACGAAAAGAACAGATGATACGTAGACTAAGATGAAAAAAAATGTGCTTATTTTGTGCACTTTTTTGTTTTTGAGCAACTGAGATTCGTTGGATAAAAATTTTGCGTTTGAATCAAAATAAAATGAGATTTCATTTTTTGTTTTGAGCTTTTTTGGACAAGCTATGATTACTGAGATTTTCACTATTCTACACTGTTAGTGAGTGATGTTTCTATGAAAAACTCCGTAATCATAGCTTATCAGAAAAAACTGAGAATAAAATCTCATTTTATTTTGATTCAAACTTAAAACTTTCATCCAACGAAGGTGAGCTGCTCAAAATAATATTTAAAGTTCATGAAATAAGCACCTTTTTTTTCGTCTCAGTTTACGTATCAAGAAAACATTTTCCAGTGAACAAAGATATGTTAGGGCTTAACAATTTGGTTTCAAGTTGTACGAATTCTGTGACGTCTAACTTCCCTTCAGAATCGATACATATTACAGATTTATTGTAATTTTATTCTGTAATATGAAATTTTTTTTAGACTTTCAAAAATTACGAGAAAAACAATGGCAACATCAAATTTTGTTGTCAGTGATGATGAACAGTCACTATCTCAAAGTTTGGGTTATCATATCGAAAAATTAATTAATGAATTATTACATCCTGCCCAACCGTCTGCAAAAGAGTTCGTTACGATAGGTCTATCTGGCGGTAGTTTAATCAAAATTTTATCCAATATTCTCCCCTATCTTGCTCTTCCATGGGCTAAAATACGATTTTTCTTTGCCGATGAACGCTTTGTTCCATTTTCGTCCGATGATTCCACTTATCATTCGTACGATAAATTATTCCGACAGTTGCCATTAACTGAGAAGAATATTTGTAAAATAAATCCAGACGTAGAGAACGTCGAGCAATGCGCTAAAGACTACGAAACAAAGTTAAAAGAGTTATTAAAAGAACCAGACCAATCGTTTGATATTTTATTATTAGGTAAGTCAACATGCTGATATTTCACTCAAATAAAAGTTATTCATTAGCGTTATTTCATTTTGTTCTTAGGTATGGGTCCCGATGGTCACACAGCAAGTCTTTTTCCAGATCATAGCGCTTTAAATGTAAGCGATGGCTTGGTAACGTATGTCAAAAACAGTCCAAAACCTCCTACAGAACGTGTTACGTTAACTCTGCCAACGATTAACAAATCAAAACATGTCCTCATTTGTGCCACAGGTGAATCAAAAGCTCAAATTGTGAAAGAAGTGATTAAAGATAAAAGTAAACAATATCCTATTGGTCAAGTTCAAGGAAATAATGTTTCCTGGTATTTAGACAAACAAGCAGCCAGTCAATTGTAAACAAAATACTTTTACATTAATTTGAACAGAGCTCACTTCACTCAATTCTTTTGAAACTGTCTGTGATTAATTTTTTATCTTCTATATACAAATGTCATAGTTCTTTTATCGTCATTCTTACCATATGTTCCAGCCATCTCACAAGTACAATTAAATAAGTGTTTACTCTATTTTTTTTTAGAATTGAAAATGGTTCATCTAATACTATAATAAATAATATAGTCTAACTGAACACGAAAAGCAAGACATTTTGGTGTTTCAAAATGTCCAAGTAGAATAAAAAGGTGAGAGATAATATGCAACGCTTTAAACTTTATTAAAAAATCAATGAATAGTCAAAACAGAATAAATTGACTAGTCAGCCATCATCCAGTATTCATCTACATTTAAACTTTCGAGAAAGCTTTTACTTTTCAGGTGTATATGATGTTCTGCAGAGAGTCTTCCACAAAATACAAAATGAGATATCTCAAGTTCTAAATGACATTTTTTTTGATAAAGTTGTGTTCATTTTGGTAAGAACTCTCAGAAAACGTAACTTGCGTATTATAATATTCATCGTTCAGATCCCGACGTCATACAATCTAAATTAATTTCCATCTCCGAAAATTTCGTTGGCTCGTGTTAATACTTTGACCAAACGGCTTGTCCATGTAACGCGACACTTCGCTGATCAAGGTTTTTTTTGTAAAATTTTTTCCATCGAAAAATCATTAGGGGCGCATCACTAGGCGCAGCTTTTCATGCTGATCACGAATCTGACTTTTATTTTTGAAGAAAAAATTCATTTTCAATATAAAAATTTTAATTTCAATTTTCTGACCTAGATATTTTGTTCAAAAATTTTAAAAACATACCATTGAATAGAGAATTCAATTTTTTACAAAGGTATTTAGGCCGATATCATAGAAACGAAAATCTTTTTTCTTCTTCTTGAGATATAAAAAAATGGCAAATATACCAGATAACACATAGATTTAGCCATAATCTGCAAAAAACTTTATCGAATGGTGTGTTTGATAACTATTGTGAACTTATGGTTAGATCCCTAGAAGACTTTAACCTTATAAATTATCAGTTGTGCTCATCTATTGAGGAAAACCTAAGACATAGTTTGTTTTCTGTAGATCACCATGTTCTGCCAAAACCTGAAATTAAAATATTTTCTATCAGAGTTTATCAAAAGGATGCACTATTCAAAATCATTAATAAAAGTTACTGACTGCTACATATGAAGAATGAAAGTATGAACCGGACATTTTTGAATAATTCGAGAATAAAAAGACATAGAAAGTTCGTATTTCCAATATTTTAAAGACAAAACTTTGAAACATCTTTGCATAAAAAGATCAGTTTGCAAAACATTTGAAGAGGTCGCTGGAAAAGCAGAACCTTTTTCTGAATCTTTCTGAAGACTTTCCTCTATAGGAACTCAGAAAATCACAAAGATAGTATATAACAGTTCTTACTTTTTCAATTCTGATAACATTATATCAAGTGAAACAGTATTTCTGTTCAGATGTGAATTATTTTTGTACGTTTCTAGTAAACACTACTTACTTTTCTTTAATTCAGTCTTTATTTGAAAACTAACTTTCTCATGAGACGCATTTTGACAACATTTTGAACGGTGTGATGAAAGACAAGAAAAACGACGAGATGAAGAGTTTGATGAAGAAGTTGAAGAAGAACTGTTAGAAGAAGTAGGTGGCACTGAAGACTCGATCTTGTCAATTGTACTAACTATGTCTGTTTTTTGTCGTTCTAGGATGATTTTGATGCTTACATACTAAATCGTCTCTCAGACATAATTCATTCGTTGTTAGTCACTTATTCCGAGTCTTATTTGGTCTACTTTGAAACGTTAGTTCCACACTTCTATCAGTTATTACAAGCACAACGAAGTGTATCTGATCGACAATGGTCTCTTTGTGTTTGGGATGATGTTATTCAGTATACCGGTCAAGCATCGTTTCGTTATCAACAATACTTTCTACAAAGAATGGCCGATTCTGTACACGATGCAGCACCAGAAGTAGAGATGTGCAATCCGATCCGTACCCGATCCGACCCGAAGGTTGGGTACGGGTACGGGTTCCATTTCTTTTAACTTACCCGAAAACCGGAAGGTTCGAGTGGAAAACCCACAAAATTTTGGTGAAAAAATACAGGAATTTAGCTAACATACATGAAGGTTTAAAAAAGAATTACTTGAGAACATAATGATAATTTGACATCTTCAGCCGAAAAACAAAAGTTTTTAGCTGGAAAACAAAAAGGAGAAAAAAAATATAAGTTGATTATGGGTTGGGTACGGGTACGAAAATGGTACCCGTGCACAGCTCTAACCAGAAGTAGGTGAACTGTTTTGAAACATATCTTGCTACATTTATTCTTTTTTTCAAGAAGATTAAATTAAAAGGGCTTATTATTTTTTGTTCAATTGTGAAAAGACCGTCTCAATCTTGCAAAATGCTTGTGCGAATCAGGAAAAAAATATTGCTTTTCGTAGTAAAAATTAAAACAAGTGTAAAATATAAACTATTTTAATTTTTCCTAAAATTTAAATTGATCACAACTACTATTAATAATGTCGACAAAGCAATAAGAATCAAAAATTACAAAATAAAAAAATAGAGATCGAAAGTCACAGAGAAATACGATTATTCATTGAATTGTTTACCATAATCATTTTTTATGATCATTTTTGCGTTTTTGTACAAGAAATAGCAATAATATTAACAAGAACATAAGCAAAATCAAAAGTACATAGCTATTACAACAGCTTCTAATATAAATATACACTGTTGTATTGGTTACATACGTTTGATCCGTTGTTATCATCTGGTCAATGACAACCACAGCATATTCAGTCATTAGTATTGTATCACTTAATAGTTTCATTTGTTTCGCAGGTGCACTATTACTCGATTTATCCAAAATCCATGCTGTACAACCTTTGGCCTTGTTAATGGTTACATTAGCGGAAGTATATTTTGTGTTTATTAGTAATAATTTTAACATTTTCTGTTTTGTATTGATAAATGCTTGAGCATAAATAGGTGAGGATGGTTCCACTGAGGTTTCAACAGCTTGATCACCGACTTGAAAATGATTAAGCAACAACGCTAATACCCAATAACGAGCAGTACCCAAGCCTAAAACAGGACAAATCCTTACATTTAATTACCTTGAGCAATCAAGTTTTCATAGTATTAGAAGGTTACTGGAATTCTTACCAGTGTTCCAATCCAATATAGCAACAGATGGATATTGAGGTGAAAGTCCACCCATAATATCTAATTTTGGATAACCAACAAATTGTGATGAGCCAAGAAGATCAATGCCAAGTGGAGCCAATTTACAATAACTATAAGCAAATGCAGCAGCAGCTGCATTCCAATAAATTTTCGGGAATGGAGGTGCATCTGGATCATTATCATTCGGCAATATGATGCCAATTTCATCGATGTATGTACGAGTTGACGGCGAGAGAGAGAGACGAATTTTCTCAATTTCTTTTACTTCTTCAACAAAATTGTCCGTTTGTGGAAAAAATTGTTCATACGTCGCCGGATCGGTTCGACTACTTGAACCGGCATAAAAATGATAACTAATCCAATCTAATGGAATACCAGGACGATGATTTGATGAATTTAGAAAGTATCTGTAGTAATCATATCTACCTAAAATAGAATAACTAAATAATTATAATGAAAAAATTCATAAGTGAAAAGCTTCGCATTTACCGTGTCCTCCTAGTGCTAATCCAACGAATTTGATCTTTTTTTCTTGATCAGCATATTTTTGAATTCCCTCTACCATACTATCATAAATGAGAGTATATTGTTCAATGCCATTCCAATGTTCACCATCGATCTCGTTCAATACTTCCCACATTGATATATTATAGTTATAAGGACTTTTATGTTCGCGACCATATTCATCTAGAAAACCACCTTTAGTATACCATGCGACTAATCGACCATAATAGTCTCCAATTTGTTGTCCAGTTTTATCAAGTAATTCGCTTCCTTGCAGGTAATCCCAGTCAACCTCATTGACAGAGTCTGGATACTGAACAGGATTAACATTTGTCAAATTATATAACCATCGCGGTTGAGTAGAAAAATTAATTACACTAACATGATCTATAACAATCAACAACAACAGAATGTAGTTGTTATATACATGACTTAGAAAGATGATTTACCTTTTGTTGCTTCAAAAAAATCTTCCATTAATGGATCAATACTCGTTAGATCCCAATACGTATTATTTTGTGGTGGATTGCATGTTACTTGTGCGATTAAACGTTTGACCGTATCAGGACATGGATCACCAAATACATCTGTATTAACAGGAATTGTACAATTTGGACGATTAACACAGCTTTTCTGGAGAACATCGATTGTAGTGTTTGAATTACATTTTCCATAGGCGTAATTTCCACATGTTCCCATTGGCGTACCAAACGAAGCAAATTCAATTTTGTCAATCACACCACCACTAACAGCACAAGACAGTATAAGATTATACTTTTCTCCAACATTTTTACATTGTGATAATCCAGATGGTTGTTCGAGTTCAGCAATACCTAAACGAGGATAGGGAAACCATGGAATAAATCGGATATAATCTGCTGGTAAATCATGTAACGATTGATAGATGTTGTCATGTACCGGAGATGCGCGTGTCACTAATGGATTGATAACCAATTGATATGTTAGAGTACTTTTACTTGTATAAAGGATATTATTCCAATTTATAATGACAGTGACATCATCAGTATAACACTGAATACATGAACTCAATAAAAGAATGAAGCCAAAAACAAGCATGACTAAAAAATAAACAAATTAGACAAATAATAAATAATAGAGTATAAGAAAAAAATTGAAGCACATTTGAGATCGTCGCTATGTTTAGTTTTCAAGAAGAAAAAAAACTGACATTTCATTTTAACAGACATTGAATACTAAAATTTATTTTCTTCTATTTTAACATAGTCGGGGAAAGAATGAGTGAACAATCTATCAAACTTACCGTTACTAGTCTATAGAAGCAAAAAAATGGTGTCTACCTTCACTCTTTTTCTGTCCTATGCCTTGTTTAAAAAGTAAGTAAACATAACATGTGAGAAATGCAAAAAGGAAAAGGAGAAAAAAAAGAGTGGAAGAAAAAAATGATTATATATTTTTGAGAATAGAAAATGGCTTCTTGAAGGATGTAATCGAGGTCTGCTCACCGTACACTTGTTTTCCAGTGTCTTATAATGGGTAAGACGTAGAGCGGAAAGCAGTGAGTAATGATGACTTTGCGTTTAACAAGATTGATTGCCCTGGGGGGGGATGCCTCATCACTTTTGATTGAACAGCGAGTTTCGGTAGTTAATATAACTGATGTTGTCGTAAAGTTGTCACAGCCCATATCCAAGAACAAGTAGTAACATTAATCTGTCCCATATTATACCAACTGATTGAGCGAACGTAGTTGTTTTTTTGCGCATTTGTTTGTGTTGTACAACGTTCTTAAATTAAATTATAGATATGATTATTGCGATGATGTTTTGGAAAAAAGGTATTTCCTTGACTGAATATCAAACTCAGCACAATGGTTCGTCAGTACAATGTTCTAGTACTAGCCGCCAAGATAGTCTAATCATCCATTTTCAGTAATCTATATTGGAAGTATTTTTAAACAGTGGCGAAATCAAGATTTTTTTTTGGGAGGAGGAAGGTGAGTGATATTAAGATGAATCACTGTGGACATTACTTTTCTTTGGGAGAAGGACGGAAGTACATTTAATGACCCAAAAGAAAATTTTGAAAATGAGAACTGATCATCCGCTACTGTTGTTGAAAAAAATAGTTTCTTCAAAGATAAAAGAGAGTTCTAATGGAGAAAATAGAGAATTACGAGCCGAATGACGATTTTTTTTGCTGATCTAGGAAAAATGAGTTTTCTCAGTGACAAAACAACATGGAAAAAAAATCGATGCGTACTTTTGAAGTTCGCTTAATAGCGGTTTTAATGAAGCACAAAAATCAACGTCATCTCTTCACACAAGAAACTAGATAGGTTTTACAAAATTGTTTAGGAACTTTTTACAGGGAGAGTCCCAGGCGTCCAAATGTGGATGTCTATCCAGTATACTGGATCGACCTTTGACTTGGACCTCGATCAAGCACCATTCTCATGCTCAGTTTTTGATGCTGAATCTGAAAAAGACGCTTTCGGAAAGTTAGAAAAATAAAATAGAAAGAAATTTGAATGTTTTTGAAACTAAAAAAAGTTTTTCGAAATTTTTGACCCTTCGAATTTTTTCAGGTTTTCTTCCTTAAAAAATCTTTTTAAAAAGTAAAAACGACTTTCAGCTTGACGAGCTCTATCCAACCATGTACAAATAAATGAAAAATAAATTCTTCTCAAATTTTGAATTACTCGCACCTTACATATATGCTGGTATTATTTCTTAAAAGCATTTAGAATATTGATACTTAGTGGACAGTATCCAAACTAAATCTTCACATTGATAAAAACAACATTATTGAAGAGATGATTACCAGAGTGTTTCATTGTTCATACTATATGGAAACAACGGCTTGAAAATAGAAATCTGCTAGCAGAAAAATATTGAAAAATAACACCCATTAAAATCTAACATATTGAAAAATATCAGTTGAAAAATATCAGGTTGAATGTAGAATAATCTCTATATTCAGATATATATCTTGTCTCTTTACAACTTTTTTCTTCATCCAATGGTGGAAACATAGTCAAAAAGTACGAGTCAATATATCATTTGAGATTTGTATTATT